TCTTACCGATGTATGTATTGTATATATTAATGCTTATATTATATATAAGTTTTAAGATATTGACTTTGTTTTACAGCTATTACAAGAACTTAATGAAAGTAGAATTTATGCTTTGAAACAAATATGGAATGAATATGTTGATCTTGAGTTGAATGTATTGAGAGATTCCAAAACACACTTGGATTTATCTTGTCAAACCATAAAAAAGATTGACGCTCATACGGATGCGCAATTATTCATAAAGTATAACGAAAAAAGTTGGAAAGATCCGCCAGATTTTGTATTTGAGTCTTCTCCAACATTTGCAGACACAGTAAGCAATATTATATACGTTGAATATTCAGATGCCATAATTATTTAATTTAATCTTTCAATTATTAATCGAAAGGGCGAATTTGTTAGTGATGAAAACACACATGTGTTTCTGAACAATCACCTTTCTAAGTCCAAACGCAAGCTACCCAATCTGATTTCGGCAATAGAAGAAAAAAGGAAACAAATTATTGGGTTGAAATCGTTAAAAGAAGCTTATGGAAATAATCCTAAACTAGGTGATTTCGATGCTGTTACTGATGTACGGTAAAAAGAATTCGATCGGATTATTCCATAAATTGCAATCAAATAAAGTGACTAATTATACAAAAAATTCATAGAATTTACACGAGGCAATTCGAGAAGTCACCATATTAGAAACTTTACGAAAAACCTGTCAAACAGAAGTTGATTCCATTATACAAGTCACAGGGGGTAATTTACATATATTCATTACTGATATGTATTATATATGCAAATTATAAAAAAATTAATATCATGTATCATATGACATAATATCAATATCAAAGATAGTGAAACGGACGGACGAAGTCATAATTTTAAAAATGCCGCATTTACTATTCCGACAACATGTGATCTATGCCAGAATACAATTTGGGGCATAGCGAAACAAGGATTTACTTGTAAAGGTACTGATTATGTATTATCATATACTGCGTAGGTGTATTATTTATTAAAAATTTTATTTTTTATTATAAAATAGAATGTGGCTATAATTGTCATGCAAAATGTGAGATGAAAGTGCCTCCAAATTGTACGAGGAGGAAAGGAGAGCTTAATCGTGGTACAATAACAAGCAGGACTTCTTCAACTATCGTATCTCCTTGGGGAACCATGTCTGGTAGTTAAATATTTTGTTGAAATGATTTTATAAATTGTTATTTCAAGAGAATTGATTATCTAAGGTTCAAATAGAAAAGGGTGCTCGTAAACGCGTTATTGGTGAAACTCTATCATCTTCGTCAACAAATGATAAAGAAGAAGAAGAAGTAGAGACATGGATTGCAACAGTCCTGTATGACTATACTGCTGACAGCACTGATGAATTGAGTGTTACTACTGGTGACGTCATCACAGTTATAGAGCCAGATGGTAATGAATGTAATTTGGTGTTTATATTTATTTATTTATAATCCTGTATCAATAAAATTATTTTACATCTTTACCATAATAGACGGGACCGGATGGGTCAAAGTAAGATTATATTTATCATAGTTATAATCGATATCAAATCTATCAAATCTGTTTTAATCAGATTATCATTATATTCTGTCTTAAGGCATTACATAATGGACAAGATGGATTGGTTCCAGCATCTTATATTGAATATCAAACTTTGGATAGTAACGATTATGGTATTTCTTGATTTTAATTTATTTTATTTAGTATCAGATTATATAAACAAACGTGAACACATACATATACGTATATATTAGTAAAAGCACTGTACGACTACGTTGCACAGTCGCCTGAAGAAATATCAATAAAAGAGGGCGACGTAATATTGGTAACAAATCGAGAAGTTGATGATGGATGGTGGGAAGGTAAGATTTTTGTTTAGTCTTCTACCTTAATATATTGGGATAAATGGGATGAGTTAATAGAAATAAAGCAAATTTTTATAGTCAAATTTTCTTAAAACTTTGAACTAAAATAACCAAATTTGATAAAAATTTTTAAATAAATTCTATAAATTCAGAATTAATTTAAAAAATTTTTGTCAAATTTGATTGCTTGATTTCAGGCGACATCGTGTAAACATACTTAGTTATTCTTAGTAATGAATTAATACTTCTTTTTTTGCAATATAATAGGCACATTGAACGGAGTAACAGGCCAATTTCCTGCAAGCTACGTAGGCCCTTTAGAGTGATTAATTCATTTATATATTTAGCATAGACTTAACTTACATTATATAGTTTTGTATCATTAGCAAGTAAATTAATAATGTATCTACATTCATAAGTATAATTTATATTTATTATTTAAGAATATGGTCTTGGCGAAATGATTAAGATAAATTTTACATAGCAAACAATCATTACGGTTATAAAAGTTAAATTTTTGATAGAATTTTTAATACAGTAAGTAGAATTTTAGCTGTATCTCGTGCATACTAAGTTGATTATCGGATATAGTGGTGTGTTGGATCTGCATAGAGATGATTTAAACATAGTGAAGAAACCATAAATAAAAATGTCAGGATCTTTATTTTTGAAAAATCTATTCTTTTTTAAAAAAGTTTTTCCAGATTTTATAGCTTTAACAAACTCAATTTTTCTATAACGTATATATACAGAGACCTCTCTAAGTGCACCTTCCATAACTGCATTCTCTATGTAAAATCTGTAAAATCTCTTTTAAGTGCACGATATAGTCTGTTCTCAGCTTATAATAAACTACATATTTTGCTCTCTATAAATACATACCCTCTCTAAGTGCATGTTTTTGAAATTTTTACTACGTATGGTCCTGATTTAAGGAAATTTCTCTGTATTACATGATATATCTTTTTTTTCTAAATCTTTAGTATCAGTATTTTTGTACTATGTTATATAATTTTATGTTTTACATCAAATTTATTCTATTCTATTGATCTTTACATACATGCTGTACAAGATGTTTAAAATTATATATGTATAAATTATAAAAATTTCTTAAAATCTTGGTTAAATGTGACTACATATAATTTCTATTAAAAAAAAACCTCAGTTTTTCTATGGTTTTGGCACTTAGGCTATTGGTTTGTACTTTTAATTAACACTCTTTTAATTTTATTAACACTCTTTTAATTTTGTTCCCTGTATTCATCCTATTTGAAATAACTTTGTACCTCTGTGAATTGTTGTACAACTTTTTTTTTTTCTGTTTATTTCTATTAAACACGTACTTTATATGCAAGGTTCCCGAATAATTTCCCAGATAAAGATTTTCAAAACACTTGTCACTTATACTCTTTTTTAGTAAGATCTACTTGAACGAATTAGAAAGAAAGATTTTGACATTTTTTTATAATATGTTGGTATTTGGTATTTAATATTTAATATTTACTATTTGCTATTTATTAAATGTTTAGTATTACTGTTTAATAGTACCAGCCTGCTCATCCACTCTATGAATTCGCCTCTTATAAATACTTTTTTTCAAGACATCTCGTAGCACTTCTACAAATATATATAATATATATTACGATATATATATATTTTTTTTTTTTTTTTTTTTAAAGAGTGAGACCTGATCTCAGTTTTTTATTGATAACATTTTGTATTATTACAATTT